ATCAAATGAAATAGAAATTGATAATATTGATAACAGCAATGAGGAGACTAAGAATCATCAAAAAAAACAAAATGTATACTGACAGCTGACCCTCATAAATTAAAGGAAGAAATTTAGTCAAACAGAAATATCCAGGAACCCGTGACAGCAATATTGAGGAATAATAAGAGTAATTGTAATAGTCATAATAATGATACCTAGCAGCGTACTCGTAAAGGCAGCAACAATAATAATGTTAATCCCTATTCTGTTTGTTTTTAACTTTTTATACCCTTCATTTTGCAAACCATGAAAGACCCCTTTTTTTCATGAAAGATCCGTTCTAACAGTACTTTTAGAAGACAGAGGTGGGCAGATAACTAGAGTAAATTTTTTATTTTGGTAGGTATTCCCTACTTTACTCTTAATTATTAGAAATTTTGATGAACTGTTGTTAATTAGATTATCCCAACACCTGAATGTAGTGTTAGCTACAACATTTCTCAGCGAAACAAAATAAAGGATTAATTAGATTTACAAAATAAAGCATCATTTTAATGTAATAGAAACTGTAAATATACATCAAGCAGCACACTCAGAGCAAGTGATCGATTTCTTGAACGTAATTGTTCCACAGCTCACATTGACACAGTGTTCTCTTGTTGCCCATGACGATATTCCTCTGCTCAAGTTAGTGCTACTGTCATCCTGGATCTATCAAAAAAGAAGGCAACATGTACTTGATTGTAGCTGTCGTTTGGTGTCGTGATTAGGATGACAAAGTTACTTTCCTTCCCCATGCGTGAATTGATGGTATAAGTTGGAATACCCGTATCGCGACTACCGACCGTCTGTTTAGTTGGGGATTTGATCACAATTCCTCTACAGCGTCCCTATAGGGAAATGAACTTCTACCGTTTTAAAACGCAAGCAATTGTGGTCGCCGACGCTTGCAGCACTATATATTTTGAGGACTGTATCTACGTAGGGTGGTATCGTTGTCGAACGCTTTAGTATTTTGGATAACCCTTTATTTGTTGAATCCTTCAATTATTAAAAGTAGATGAACAACGAAGCTTTAGTAATACGAAGTATGAGGAAAAACCGCTGAGCACTTGCTCATAATCTAACCCTAACAATGTACAATATATTGACTTATCGGTGAAAAGGTAACACTGAACACAGGCGTTTGGTGCTACCCTATCACAAAGAATTATCACAAAACACAATAAACAAATAAACTTTAACCCAAAAAAAAAATATGAAATAACGAACTTTAAGTAGATAAAATCGAAACAAACTTTGAACTAGAAACTTTAATTGAAATACAAGAGGAGAGGCGATCAATGATAACAATCGTTCTCACAAAGAAAAAGGCGAGATCTCAGCTGTAGAATCAATATCGATTGATACTAACTGAAAACTGAGTCTCTCGCTGCTACCTTGCCGCTTTTGTACCTGTCGTTGTCGTAATGTTCTTTCCACCAGAGCCTCCAAGAGCTACCCCTCAGGGCCATGTCTGAGTCGTTACAGTCTACTGCTTGCTTCAAGCCATTTCGCGTGCCGTCGCGACAACCCGGATTGATCTTTCAGATATCTCAAACTGTCAAGCTGTAGTAGCATAATATAGCTATAAATTAAATTGGTGATTCTCTTCCTTTTGCTCCTTTTGACTGCTTCTCGGTCTTCTGGATAGATATCTCCAGAATCTGCTTGACTACACAAGTATATAATGCCACGCGGTTCTTGGGTTTTGATGATTTTATTTCAGTAAGCGAATATTAGTACAGCGAAACCTCAGACTTGGGTAATTAAACCTTAAAAGCAAAAAACATAAATCAAAGCGTACAAATAGAAGGTTATATTAAAACACAAAACACGTTAAAACATTAAAACGTGAATACAGTTAATCACAGAGGTAATTAGATAGACTTGTTTTCCCTTCATCGGCCCTCTCTCCTAGCTAAATAGTCATTATAAATAAATTGATAACTAGGGTCTTCCTTTCTCTTTGTAGGCTACTTGCTTCCTCCTTGTAGCCCTGGATGATTTGCTGCCACGCGGGACTTGAGTTTTAAAGGCGTTTATTTCAGAAAGCAAATTTTTTACAGCGAAACTTCAAACTTGGGTAATTAAACCCATTAGCAAAGAAATTATAAAACGAAGCATATCATTTAGAAAGTTTTATACAAAGCAATCAAAAAAATTATAAACCATGCATATAAGTTAAAGCGACAAAAGCTTTAGTACCGTTGATCACTAAAAATGATTGAAGCTCGTCCCCCAGTCCTTTATTTCCCGGTTATATAGTCACCCCTGATCTGGGCGGGGTTGATATTCTTCTTATATCTAACCCCGCCAGTTCGAGCTTCTCCATAATAATATTACTGGATTAGGAGCCGCTTCCCCGCAGCAGCGTCGGACCCACTTTATTTTCCTTCCTGCTCCCCGGCTTGGGGAACTCGTTTCTGAGCCTTCTCCTCCTGCCTCTCCATCTTGGGAGAGTTCGCTAGAAGCGACAGTCATCCTGCACTAAGCGGGGTTGACATCCCGCTTTGACCGAACCCCACCGGCTCTTTCTCCACCATAGATCCTTGGTCAAGTTTAGAGTTCTTTTCCCGCAGATTTGACGGGTTTGTTATGATCTCCTCCAGTCTCCCCAGCCTTGGGAAACGGTCCCGATACGTCGGCTCCCCTCTCTCCAGCTTGAGAGTGTTCGCTTGACGCGACAATAGCTATTTGACCAGAAACCGTTGGTTGTAAAACTTCAGAGATCTTGGTGGTTGCGTCGACTTGTTCTTGGTTTGACCAACTCAGAATTGGTCTTCTTTCTTGAATTTCTGCTACATCTAAGAATAAGACTGGGATATCATCGCATGGCTTGGAAACTTGCAGATTTTTCCAAAGGGATCTTACTGTTGTTTTCAAAGCTGATCAAACTTGACCACTATACAAACCTCAGAAACCAACTTTGGGGTAACTGGATGACTCCGGTACGATACAGTTAGTGAAACGACGTCATAATCCGTAATTCTGGAGGCACGTTCCTTTGCTACTCTTACCTGGTAACTGTTCATCCAAGTCTCAAGAATGATACTGTTCAACTCATCGACCTCCACCTTCTGAATTGAAATTTTCCTATTGCTCCGACAAATTCTGGCGCTCGATGATTGCGTCCAGAATCTCAGCTCGCCTTCCTCCTTCCAATAATGTAACTATGACGTAAGTAATCTGTCGCATTGATAACCCTGTATATGAAATAAAACAAAAAACTCCAACTCGGCTGAAGTTTGCCTACATTGATGGATCAATCTAACCTGTACTTCCTTTGGGGACGCCTTGCTAATCCAAAAATTAGTTTGGATTCTTTCCTTCATGCAAACAGGTGAAGCATTTACCAGCTTTTCATAATCCTGAATCAGTCTGGGATATAGATGACCAATTTGTCTTACTCTTCAATTAATATTCCCGTTCCCCTCTTCATAAGTATAGGCAATTCTTAAATATTCCTAATCCATACTTGGTGAGTACCAAAACGTGGCTTCCGGCCTCTAATTTCTGAAAAACCTTAGGTAAATAATAACTACATAGAAAGTTTTGTTACTCCGCTTCCATTTCCACGCGATCACTTCAATTTCTAAAATATCTCCCGCATCAGGCATTCTCTTTACATGGTTTTGGAGAGTTGGATACTGTCGGACCAAGTCGGTACAGGCATTATTTTTATGTCAAAGAGCTCGGAGGACAATCAGAAGACAAAAAAGAATTGTAGAATAGGAAAGAACAATGAAGTGAAAAAAATTATTTGAATAATGTAGGAAAAAAACAGAAAACACCTCACCAATAAACTTTAAAGCAAGACAAATACAAACATGTTTGGTTGTACTTGAAATTAGTATGAAAAACTATATGACACAGGTAAAAATTTAAAATTAAACTAACCCAAATGAGATTTATAGCTGAAAATTTAAGAATTAAAACGTAGCAAACAAAAAATAAAGTAAAGCAAAACAAAAATAAATTGACAAACGTAGTAAATTTTAGCTCGAAAGTTTTAAAGCAACTAGTACAAAAAATTTGAAGTAATAGAAATTGAGACCCAAAAACAAAATTTTGATAAGCAAACAAAATTTAAAAACTTTGTTTGAAGGCAAAAGTTCAAAACTGAAACAAAGAAGATATTAAGGACAAGTTTAAAAAAGCACTAAATTGGAAGTTTCAAAATTTATCAAGCTCTAGTCGACTCAACTGGGTGAAAAATACCACGGTAACGGTCATTCGATGCGTTGGTGAATAGGCATATGACTGCAGCAGCCTTTATGCAGCCGTGTCGTGCCGTGAACTCCCCTACTTTCCTCAACTTCTACTCTTCATGCCTGAGGTCAATTTCTTTGATGAGGAATACGTCATCAATTTGTGGTGTTCTTTGTTCTGCTTGTTTTTATCCCCTATGTACCAAAGTTTGTCGCTCTAAGACTTAACGAATATTTGTCGTTAAAACAGTGCTAATAGTTTTTTGTGAGTGTAATACTGACTTTGTACAAATTGAACAATTCCTTCCGCTCCTGTGGAGGAACATAACCCGGATTGTCACAGGCTTCCACTGGTGCAATACTAGTTGAACGACCACGCTGTAAGAAATCCACAGAGCGTATTGTAGTAGATGTTACCTCATCATATATATATATGTTAGCGGTCTGAAGTTTACAGTGTTTAGATATCAAAAGGCCTTTCATTGGTGATAGTCTGTTCTTACTAAATATCACTTGTGTATGACATCTACCTTCAATCTTACTTCAGAAACACAACTTCGCCACATACGGCCGCTGTGAAGCATCTACAAAAGAATATAGTTCCCAAACACGTTCTTGTGTCCTCTCTGTGGCCTTTCTTGGCAGAGCTATCTGCTCTACAACATTCTATGATCGTTGTATTTCGTCCCATTCTTGTTAAATTTCTTTCGCGGGTTTTTGTCCCAAGTGTTGATCCTTTCCATAATGATTGGACAAGTAGCTCTGCCTTTAATTAGCTAGGACTAAGAAACCGGAAGTTTCATAATTTTGGGCTAATCTTGATAGGATTGACTGTTTCGTAGCCCATTTATTAACTTTTATGTCCTCATAGAAAGAAAGTTTTAGCGTGCCAATTCCCAACCGCCACACTGTTCCCAATACCTTTTAAGATGGTGCACTATCCAGATCTTCTGAAATAACTTCATTGAATACTGAAGCATTTGATGTTCAGGGTCACGTATTAATTGATGCTTTGTTGAAAGCCTATTCAATAAATTTATTGATACGCACCAACTCGTTGCTTGTTTCAGCAGCAGATATCAAGTTATCAACGTAAAAATGATAAATGGTCCTTTGTATTGAATCTGTCCTTGATTGAACACCTTATTTGAAAATCTCTTCAGTTTTTTTTTCTCAAATGATATGTATCAATTGCTGCTAGCAAAAGCGGACTGGATATCACTCCAAACGCGATTTTCTGAAACCTATAGATAATAAGTTCTTAGGAGACACCCCTCCCTGTTTATTTTTTATCCACAAGAATCGTGTCATGTCTCAAACTTATTCGTGTAGTTCGATTTGAAGAAAGATCTTTTCTATATCTGCGATGACGTCATAAGTAATTGTGCGGAATCGTAACAATATTCCACATAATTCTGGTAACATAACTGGGGCTTCACAGAGGCTCTCATTCGAAATTAATGTATTTTTACTTGGTTTTGCCAAAGCGTCGTGAACAATTTGAATCATGCGGATTTGTTCCACTATTTCTGATTGCTTGATAATTCTTTGAAGGTGCTTTCTCTAGTTGCTATATCGGCAAAATTTTCTTCCGTTGAAACATATTATATTTTCATTTCTTTGGTATTTTTGATTTTCTCTATTTGGTTTGACACAAACATTGGTAAAATTTTAATTGTTTTTAACCAATGCAAAGCTCAGTTGGAGTCACACCAGATAAAGCGTCGTGTAACCGTTACCTGTAATTCACGTTGCACGTAAACCATTGCTCCCACACTAATTAGTAACGCAATTAGTTCTAGCCTTAGAATGATCATGTCTTTAGCAGGACGTATACGATTTTTACTGATAATTAACCAGTTTTTATAACCTTTCTTTTGCTTATTCCTTAGATACACCACAGCGGCGTATGCCTTTTTCAAAGCGTCTACAAATGTATGTAGCTCAAGATCATCTCTATCTGAGAAGATGCCTATTTTTAGAATTCAGATGGAGTTTAGAATGATCATTGGTAATCATAAGTAATTAAAAAGTTTAGCAGAAGGCTCCGTAAAGCTTGTCTTATTTTTGCTACAGTCAAAAGATTACCTTTTACAACTTGATGAAACGTGCCATCTTTTATTTTGTAGTAAATGCGCTCTACTTGTTTTTTACTTGTACAATCAGATTTTACAGTAAAAAACAGGTATAAGCAGTATTGATATCTGTGCAGACGCGTTCAAAACGTCAAAGCTCAGAATACAAAGAAAACGGATTTGGTAAGAACTGTAAGGGAACGAAACAGATGTCTACAAAACCAAGCAAACCTCGTTTTCAAACATATTTCTAAAAACCATATGACTCTCTCCGCTTACACCTTTGGAAAAAAATTGTTAACTGTAAGTGACATGTTTGTACAGTTACATCTTTGCATCTGCAGTTCTCAAGCTTTTGGCAAACAGAATGGTTTAATGCAATTAAAAATACATAAATTTTTAGGGATCACTTCGCTATGGTCATGCCAACATTTTCACAGAGGCTTTAAGAAGCTAAAAGTCCGTTCATTTCTAGAACTCGTAATTTGTCGTGGTAATCGCTGAAGACGATCACTGTAAAGTAGATAAGCGTCGACGGCGTTTTGTAAGGTCATAGTTAGAGCAGCTGAGGTTGCTGCTTTATCAACTTTACTTTTCTAGGAAGATCGGTTCGTTAAGCATCTACCAGTTCGTTAGAGCCAGAAAAATTTATTGCGCTTCTTTACATTTTTTTGAAAGTGGTAAGGCCTGCCCAAATACAATGGGAAAAACGGTTATGCTGAGCGAAACAACACGTCTTTAACCATTCTGTTTTAATACAGGTTTACCAGAAAGTCCGCTGCTGCTGCTGCCTTATCAAACTGTTTTACTTTAGTATACTGAGAAAACTTCCCCAAATTAAAAAAAAAAAAGATATATTTTCAGTGGTGTAACTTTTTCGTTTTCTCAAGTGCAATTTACGCTAAGTGGCAAATGAAAATTTTTGGTAGGAGTTATTTTATTCACTACGATACTGTTAAAGTGTGATCGCTGTGTTGATCAATTTCTGATAACATCAAGGATCTGATTTTCGTTTTATCGGAAATTCGTAAATTCAAATTTTACTAAAGAGTCAAAGCTTTTTTCGAAAATTTACAAATTGCTTTCTAAAGCAGTTTTCAGTTTTCAAGTTTCAACTGCTCCCCCTGCTAAAGTTATTCAATTCACCAATATGCGAGTGCCAGAAGCTACAAACGACGCAAAAACTGTTCTCAAACCTTGGCGGGTGATTACTCAAAAATTGGCTTTTGAAGGGTTCATTCCACAGTTAGCTTGTGCAAATTGTCTTAATCTTTCAGATTGTTATATATTAGCGAAAGATTTTGTAGTCATCTTTTGAAAAGAGCTTCAGAGGTATTGCCAGCTTTTAAGAACGCATTAAATTTGTAGGTTTCTGCAAAAGTACGTTTACTTTGTTTTTCGCGGTTTTTTGAAATATTCTGAATATTGGCTTTTTTCACCTAAGTGCAGGTTAATACATGAGTAGACCAATGGTTTGTGTTAAGTATTAATTTTAGCTAAAAAATGTGCATATAGAAAAGAGAAAGTTTTTTTATTTAATCAATGATTTTACATTGCTTATTATAACTTAATGCTAGAAGTATCAATTTTTTTTTAATATAATTTTTTTAATTTTTAATTTTTTAATATAATTTTTTGTGAACTTATTTATATGACAAGAATCAGGTGTTCCTATATTACAATTTTATCAATTAAATGAAATATTTAGAATGGGCACAGATTATTCAGACTTATCTATGAAATACTCGTTAGTTTTTAGCACTAGAATGCTGGTAAAATGATTTTTTTCGCACCGATAGACTAATCGTGCAGATACTGCCTTTCTTAATCGCTCTTGTATTCTTTTCAAGCAATTCTGTTCTTTCCTTTATGACAATTTTTTCTCTTCTGTCAGTCAACCTGGCTCAAATTCTTTTTTTTAGTTTCAACTTTTCTGTCAATTTTTCTGCTTTTATCTAATTTAACTTAATCATTTTTTGAATAGTCTACAAAGCAAAAATTGGTTTAAAAAATAGGTATTACCTTTGGGAAGCGGATTATAGGAGCAGTTGTTCAGTGATGATAATAAAGTTTTATTTAACTATTTATCTGAAAGTATAAAAGTGAACTTGAGACAGAGTGTTGTGAGCCACGATTTGAACAGTCTTATCCAGTATCCGCCTTGAGTTAGCATTTTTGCCTATATATATATATATATATATATATATATATATATATATACGATATATATATATATATATATATATATATATATATATACACTTACACGATTATATTCTTGAATCACTGAAACATTAAGTAACGCGACGAGTTTTAAAATTTTGTGCTTGTGAAGGTTGCGAAGGGCTGCTAAAGAGACTTGATGAAGGTTTCCTCTAAATTTCCGAACTATCACATATTTGTCTTGTATATCACAAAATATTCCGGGATGATTGAGCGTTACGGCAACTCACGGTAATTTTGAAGTGATCAAGAATCTTATTCTTAAGTATCATAGGATGTTCAAATGGGAGTGTTTAAAATGAGTAGTTTTTTGTTAAACAGTTATTCTTTTACGTTGTTTTACTTTGAAAAACTTATTTTTAGGTTCGTAACAACTATTTTCCTTTTTTAGGTCAACAGTTTATTCGAAATGATCTTGCTGAACAGCTTTCAAAAGCAGCCTAATATTGCTTCCTACTATATCTCTCGTTGCGACTGCTTTTGTTTTAATCATTGGGCATTTTGGTTAATTGTACTACGCAGTTGGGTTATGATAACAAACCTTTTTTTTTCTGCAATTTACCGAACAATTTTTTGATTGTCAGTTTTAAATATTCTTATCAGCTGTTGAAGATCAGAGGTGAAGGAACAGTTTCAGAAATTATATAAAGGTAGAGGAAGAGAGAAACCATTAGTGCAATTTTTTAGAAGTTTTTTGAATTTAATAAAAAGATTTCTAGTTGCTGTAAGATGCTTATTTTAATTAATGCATTTTTTCTTGAAACTCTATGAGAAGGAGGACTTTTAACACTTTACATCAAAAGTTTTTAGAAATTTATTAAGTTGATACTAGATTTTTTTTAACATTGAGAGGCCCTGTCAATATTTCTTTAATAACAAGCACGGTGAAATGTTAAAAAGCTTTTTTTTTACTGTAAGCATGATGATCGATAATTCTCACACAAATTAAACTAGGCTTCACGAAGTTAATACTTGAGCCAGAAACGACTCAAAGACTTTAGATGTCTTAACTACTCTAAGGATTCTAACACATCTGGAACTTTCTCTTGCTGTTGAGTGGAATTAAAAGCTCTATTCTTCTCTATTTAGATAGTTAAATTACTCAGAACTTTCTTCTAACGGTTTTTTTAATTTTTTAAGAGACCGTAAAAACACGTTTTTTTATGTGTACTTCTCGCAGTAGTAACTTAACACGGTATTTTGATTTTTCAAGCGTAGTTATTCAAAAGTTCACTCTTTTTTTGGCGTTAAGATTGATTGCGATAAATCCAGTAAACAATTCAAGTCACTCTTGGATACAGCGGTGAAAGGTGTTTCACCACTTGTCGATGATGTAAACAATAAAGGCGCACATCTGGGAAGAATTATAGTACTTAGAATGCTTTTGAGGATGTGTTCCGACAACCTCTAACTTTTTTTCTTGGCTTTAAAGATTGTTCTGTAAGAATAAAGGAGTTTGAAGTTCCCAAAAACTTTAAAAAGATGCCTGAGCTTACTCTTAATAAATTAAACTGCTGTCTTTCTTGGGTACAGGATAGGTTACAGCATTGCTTTTCATACTTTTTTGTTTCGTTGATTTTTGTCAGAGAACAAAATTTTATTGTTACAACTTCTCTAAGTTACTACTTCCCAATAATAATGCAAAGATAAATGAACAGTAACTGAGAGACATCACCTTTGAAAAATTTGTAAGATTATCAAAACAAATATTGACGGGTAAATTATCGGTCACCCTTACTGCAACTTACTTCTTCAACTGTTAGTGTTGTCGTCCAATATCGCTTTGAAAAAAACCGGTTAAAGAAGCGGAACTTTTTGAAATCTCCAACGGAATCATATTGAAAAACTTATTTTATTTTATTTTATTTCTTTCAAGCGACAAGGCTAGTATGAACCAGTGGAAAATGTCCACTTCCATGAATTTATAAAGAAAGTTTGTGAAATAAAGTTCAGTTTTTGTTCAAATTAAGCTGAATTTGTGCAAATTTAAAATACGTAACTGGGCAAGAAATTACCATTGCTCGCGCTCTCTGCAAAAGTACTAGCTTTACATTCGTTTCGAACCATTATGTAGTTTCGGCAATTTATTTCGTAACGATTTGGTAGTTGTAATAGACCTCTCGTGCCAAGCTTCTAACTTGCTTTATAGCAAGAGAAGTAGTGGTCATTTTACCGTCTTTGTTTGTTTAAGAAACTTCACCTTCTTTTGACGAAAACCATTTCATTAACATTTGTTATTTACTTTTCTGGCAGCATCGAGTTTTTCACGCTGCTTACTGTGACTACATTTTCAAACATAGGTTTTGTTGTTCACATAAGAATTGAAAAACCTTTTGTTACTTGACGAGGACGAAGAATTTGGTTGATTTAGATGCGTTAATACTGACAGCAGGTAAGTTAAAAAAAATCTGCTCTATAGTACTTTGGTCTGCATTTTAATAAAAGTGAACCGAACAAGTTTCAGAAGAAAAGAAAAGAAAATGCAGCATAAGATTAGTTGCAGAGAGCAAGGAACAACTTAGAAGGATTTGTGAGTACAAATAGATTTACTGGGAAATCCGGTTACCATACCTTGCTAGAGAGGTGGACCTTTTTAAGGTTTCTGCAACAAAAGTTTTAGCAAGTTTTAAATGAGATGCTGCTGCGCAGGAAGCGTGCTCTGCTAAGTTGTTTCACGCTGTTAGAATGGATGTTTTAGCTTTCTGTTTCTTGAAGATAGCTTAAAGCAGTAGCTCTTTTTCCAAAGACTTCGTCTTCCATAGATGATACTTATAGCAATGGCTCCATCTACACGATTACTTTTTGTTTAAAATTTCCCTGATAAAATCGTTTTTTCAAGCTCCACGCATTTTGCAAGTCTTAGTTTCACCCTTACGCGTTTGCGCCTTCTTTATTGGAACTTGCCAGGTTTTTCTTATAATTAAATTTTTAGCTCTAAATTAGTTGCTATGGTTATTCGGATTCAGAATCATTCAAATACTTCCTCTGTTTGTTTTCTGAAATAAGAATGGTTCATTGGTAGACAGATTTTCTCACAAATAAACCCTGCTGCAATTGGAAGCATCTTCGCATTCCTTCATTAAAGGTTCTTGCAAAGTCCAGCTACGGTGCGAAAAAACGTTATTTTGTCTTCGAGTTTTGTTAGGAAAATAGGTTCAGTTTTTTGTCATTATTTTTGCTTTGCTACAGTACTTTCTGTCCCACAATTTAAAATGCATAGGAAAATTTTTACGTAGACAACTTGATTTGCAGTTTTTAAGAGACGAAGCTCTTAAAGCACATCTGCGTCGCCAGGTAGTATCTGTTGATATTGGGAAGATCGTAACTGCACAAAGAAGGAATCCAATGAGAAGCTAACGTCAAAAAACGTGATTTACGATTTAATCATAGAGGCCGAGTGGTAAAGTGGAATATAGGTTAATTTCATTAGAGATTGAATCGGGAATGTCACAAAAGTGAGTTTTACCGTGTTCAAGTTTATGTAATAATACTTGGGATTTCGCTTTTTGGTACTGGTCTTTAATCTTTCATTTACCAACTACACTTATATTTCTCTAGGGTTAAACTCGTTGACCAATTTAGAAAAAAAATCAATTTCAGCTTTAACCAATGTTAGATGCAACAGATGAGTGGATCTGACAGTAACTGTGCTAGATCCGAACAAATTCTTCCAGGTTTGTTTTATGAACGTTAACGAGTTTATTTGTGTGCTCTGAATAAATATTTTCAAAAAGTTACTCTTAAAATTATAAAATTCAAGGAATTAGGAGTTGCTGTTAAAATTGTGTCAGTAAGTATTGCGTCAGTTGCGTTTTGGCAACATTTTCATCCATGCAGTTCACTTTTTTAGTGTCATTTTCGGACAAAGTAGCACCTCTTGCTTCATGTATGCTTGACCTTCGTTTTCATGCTCGGCCATGTTTCGGCCGTTTGTGCGTTTCTGTCAGTAATGATGAGAAGGTCTCACTGCAAAAATGAACTTTATTTGAATTGAATATAACGACGGTTTCCTCCCTTTCGTCTTTCACCATACTGTGCCCTCTTTTTCCTCACCATGCCTTCAGTTGAAACTGACAGCAGTGATCTGCATGACAAGAACCTGTTCAATCAGCTAACTCGTGAAGCCGTGCAAGTGCTAAGAACTTTCATTATTCAGTTTATTAGAGTATAAAAGGAATTGTAAGAAAAATCATCAAATTAATAAAATATGTAAAACAAAACTCAAAAATAAATTGAAAACAACAAAATGTACAGTAACGTTAGCAAAAGAAAAAGAAAATGAAAATAAGAACTAAAATTAATAAGGTCACTTCAGATTAATTGAAGGCATTCATTCAGGTAAACAAAAAAATAATTTTTCACTTCTGAAAAGCGTATACGCCGCTTCAAGACAAGAAGCCCGCTTAAAACTTAAAGTTAGAATCGATAAGAAGGTAAAACCTTCCTACGAAAAAAACAGAACAAAAAAAAAAGAAAAAAAAGAAAACCCTAAGAAACGGGTACTTCACAAAAAACATTGTGCAGCAAACCCACCTCCCACTTAGACGGCAAACTACGGTCACAGAAATGGGAACTGGTACCAAAATCAAGATCAGAAAGGAAACTCAAGCCGATGACATGCCCAAATCGCCCATAATTCCTCTTCCATTTCTCCCACTTCTAGCGAATTTCTTTACCTAGTTCCTTTTTGCACCATTATTCCCCTACTATTCAAAAGATCCACTAAGAATGTTAGCACCATCCAACAAATTTCCTCTATTTTTTTTTAATACTTAGCAAGAACTTTACACATTGATGACTTTTTTTTTTTCTAATTTTCTTGCCTTGACGGCTTTACAAAAAACGGAAGACTGATAAAAAATGGGCGAAAGAGGCTTCAAAAAAGTAACAGTTTCCAGATATATGTGGAGTATACCGTGGGGAACATACGACCAGTCTCGATATAGTAAATTTCCACATCTTTTTCTTTTTTTTTGTATCAGAATGGCGACAGAGGCGATGACGATGACGGGATAATGACAACGACACAACGCTGACTATTTTTTAAAAAACCTAGCAGTAATTAAACTTGAAAAAGTTTCTACCAAATAGCAGTTCAACAAATTTGTGGGTCATTTTTAGCACCTAAACATGTAACCAAGTAAAAGT